GGACCCAAGGACTTGGGCCATCTTCTACTGCTTTCCCAGGCCATAGGAGAGAACTGGATGGGAAGTGGAGCAGCCAGGTCTCAAACCGGTGCCCATAATGGATGCCAGCACTTCAGGCCAGGGCATTAACCTGCTGTGCCACAGCACCAGCCCCTGCTTCATTCTTACCACCATTATCAGTCTTTGTGGTGATATTGAAGTTATTAGTCTAACTAAATACTCTTTGTGCTGAGTTCTTCACCAGGTGGTCTTTTTGAGCTTTACCTATATTGACGCATTTAATTTCTTAACCCAGGGAGAGGTTGATTTTATTTAATCCCTCTTCACAAAAAGACAACCCCTGGGCCCAAGCAGTTGTCTTGAGACATTGTAGATTGGTTGTAGATACCTGCTACCAGCAGAGCTGGGATTGAAGCCCAGGTCATCTGAGGGGTGGAGCAGGTGGGAGGGTCGCTACTGTCCCCGGTAGAGAATGCTGTGCGTTCCAAGTCAGCAGGAAGAGAGAGAAATGTGAGGGTCGAGGCTGTGAATGAGGACCCCAACCCAGAAAAACTGGCAGGTAGGCTGCCCTATCCCACCTCTGGCATACTGAGCGCTTGTGAGAACGGGGTCTGGGGAGCCAGGAGGGCCTGATGTGTCAACAGACAAGGACCCTGAAAGGGACAGAAGTGATGAGCAGTCATCCTCCACTCTGACACCTCCTTCAGCTGCTTGGCTGGCTGGTACTTTCCTCAGCTTCTCTCCCGTCCCATCACATAAAGAGCTTTGGAGAATTTGTTTCCGAATCTGGGACTGTTTTCAAAGACTGATGAACTGAACAGACTTCCGCCCAGTCACTGGATGGATTTCCCCGTAGTCACTGGTTCTCCCTGCTACAGTATCTGGCAACTTTCTTGGACACAGGGGCTGTCTTGTTTTCCACTTTGTCCTCAGTGTCTTATACAGGGTCTGGCTCTTTATGGCCACTCAGAATCCCCTGGTTGGATGAGTGGATGCATTGGACCAACGGACAGACAGATGCACAGGTAGGCCAGTGCAGGTCTTCCTGCTTAGCTCTTTCTATTTGGCTGTTCTCTTCCTTCTTCCCCAAAGCCCTCAGATGCTGGAGGTCACAACGGCCTCTCCTTTCCAGAGTTCATCTTCACTTTCTTGACCTGTACCTTTTCTTTTCCTTGCCCTGTGGCTGTTGAACGGTGTTAGCCAGCCCTCAGTGTGGTGCCCCAGAGCCTCATTTTTTCTGCCTGGCTTTTTTAGGGGGTGGCAGGAAAAGACTAAACAGGATGTTCAGAGAGGCTCTTCAGTCGCCATATGTGTGTAGGAGAAACACAGGGAGAGGGGGCGCTCAAGCCCTCGGCCCTGGATTCTCAGGGGAGGGGTGGTGGAAGGAGAACCTGACTGCTGTCAGCTTGGCTCCTATGAGTGTCAGTGAGTGAGATAAGGAAAAAACATTTTCCCAATGAGGGTTTTTACAATGGATTAGTTAGTAATTAAGGGAAAAGAATACTTGATGATCTCTATAAACACCAGTGAACTAACAAAGAATGGAGAAAACAAAAAACTCATGTATGGCAATTTATGAAATTTTATGCTATTTGTTACCCTTTCCATTCACTCTGCATAGACTTGTCCATCACTGCTTCTATATGTTCAGCAGTATGTGTGTATTTATGTAAACCTGAACATGAATAAGGCAAAAGCTTTACCCTCAAGGGATTTAGTATTTAGTTACAAAGGTAAGAACTACATGCAAATAATCAAGTAGGATATGAGTCACAACGGTTAAAAACAGATAAAGGAGTTTTCAGATAAGACACAGAGAATGCACCTGTTAAATGAATATGGTGAGTGTTCTTAAGAGGGAGTCACTGAGGTATGGCAGAAGGCCGTGGCCCTGTGTTCAGGAGGATCTGCTGCCATCAGCTGCGAGGCCTTTGCCGGGGACCTGACATCTGTGACCCAGTGAGCAGGCTAAGCCAGGCCTCCACGCAGTATAGGCTTGAATTTCAATTCTGAACCCTCTTCTTGTATGCTCGCCCATTGCTGGTGATGTACTCTGGCCATCCGATTTACGTCATTAAACACTCAAGCAAGCATTAGTCACGAGAGGGACAAGATGCACCTCTACAAACGTGTGTCTCCATTGACAAGTCACTCCCAGCCTCGGTGCTCATCACACTCAAGTATGTAATGCGTTGACATTGCTTTGAAGAAGTAGAGCCCCTTGGCTGGGTCCAAGAGAGTCTCCACAAAGCCAGACAGCTCCCTTATTTCCTCTGTTTCCATTTTGCTAAAATAAGACTGAAAAATAAGACCAGAGCTTTTCAACAGCCACATTCTCATAAACGGGACACTGACCTTGATCAGACAGAATGAGAGAGCACTCTATTTCCAGTTGCCTTTGTTTGATAAAGCAGAAATTCACGAGATTCCACAAACAAGGGTTTGTGTCCTGCTTCCAAGCATCCCCATGAAATAAGTAGATTTTTTTTTTTTAAAAGGTGTTTAGCTTTCACCCTAAGCCAACAGGTCTGAGTGTCTCCTGGAAGCAGATGAAGTATGTTTTAAGCAAAATGAGAACCTGCTGTACAGCAGAGACATCAGAAATGCTTTTTTGAGTAGACCTATGTCCTGACTGAGGAGGCCAAGGCAGAAGAACAAGAGAAGTGCTCTCTGCAGCTCAGCAGCCCGGCACTGAGCAGGGATTGGGGGGACTTGCTCAGGGTTGTTGCTAGAACATTCTCTCACACCTTTATACATCTCACAAACACACACTCACACACTCACACACCACACACACACAGCCATCCCAGATACATGGAAGCATTTCTCAGGCCACTCCCTCAAAGTACTTTAAATTCACTCAATAGACATTTAATTTGGATTTGAGGTATGAGGAAAAGGTAAAATCAAGATGATTTCTTAAATCCAGTATCTTTCTATATAAATAAAATCCTTCTACTCATACGAAGAAAGAACCATTGTTTCCCAATTCACATTTGCATTTGACTTAACATGAAGTAAATGATAGGAAAAGTACTTGGGACGTGCAGAGAACCTTTGGAAGAGAAATAATATTAAAAGTACATGGCCAGCTGCGCGGTTCAATAGGCTAATCCTCTGCCTGCAGCACCGGTACCCCAGGTTCTAGTCCCGGTTGGGGTGCCAGATTCTGTCCCGGTGGCTCCTCTTTAAGTCCAGCTCTCTGCTGTGGCCCGGGAAGGCAGTGGAGGATGGCCCAAGTGCTTGGACCCTGCACCCGCGTGGGAGACCAGGAGAAGCACCTGGCTCCTGGCTTCGGATCGGCACAGTGCACCAGCCGTAGTGGCCATTTGTGGGGTGAACCAATGGAAGGAAGACCTTTGTCTCTGTCTCTTTCTCTCTAACTCTGCCTGTCAAAAAAAAAAAAAAAAAAGTACATGCATCAAAACCCAGAATCCCAAATCATTGCCTCAAATCTCAGCTGATTCCAGCCTTGTGTTCTTTCAAAGTTTCATTTATTCCTGCTACAATTGCCCTAATTTTTACTAGTCATAAATTCCTTCTAGTTCAAAGTAGTCACACTTTAAAATGCAAATGCAAATATTTTACAAAAAAAGCTATTAAGGCACCGCCATTTTTGTTACCAACTGTTATTTGAGTTCCTACTATGGACACATCTTAGAGCTCACATTTAAAATAAATGTGGAATTTCCAGGGCAGTAACAACAGCAGCTAACACTGACCGGGTGCTTACATTGTGCCAGGATAATTTGTATTCATCCTGTGTGCGATCTGCACTACACATACTGAGCAAAGTACAGGTACTGTTGTTGCTCACTAATCAGAAACCAGAGAGAGAGAGGAACTGGCCCAGAGTCACACAGCTGGAAAAGTGACTGAGCCAGGAGTGGAATCCATGTCAACTCAACTTCAGAGCACAAGTTTTTAACCCCCAAACTGACGTTTCTTCTGTGATACCTTAGATGCACAGCTTTCCAATTCAGGGATTGAGAATTTACCTGAAGCCCTTCCTCCAACTGTCCAAGGCCAGGTCTCACCCCTTCTTGATAGCTACATCATAAAAGTTGCCAGGCATGGTGGCCAGTCAACACGGAGAAATCTCTCGTTGTTATTAGTTATCTCTACAGCAACAAGAGGTGGTGTTTGGAAGAGAGTGCTAGGTTAGTATAGGCACCACCCCAAGGAGGTGATGGCTAAGGAGAAATACAAGGTAGAATTCAGATGCCCTGTCTCTAGGAACAGAAGATAAGCATTTAAGAAGGTGGCCTTCGTACTTTTCTCTGAAGGGAGGAGAGAACTTCCACTTTGCTTATGGCCGTATCCAAATACTGATGGAGTCAGTGGTCACAAAAGGCTTCCATAGCCTTGGCAGCTTATGGCAAGAGCCTCGGGTGAACACTGACGTCATGAATAAGAGTGTCAGTTGTTAAAGGAACAACAGAAGTCACTGTGCACTTGCTCCCCATGTAGGACCTCTGTCCTTAATGAGGTGTACTGTGAGTATCAACTGCAAAACTTGCTCTCAAACTGTACTTTATATGTTGTGTGTGTCTGTGGTGAGTGCAAACTGTTGAAATCCATACTTAGCATAAAGTTGGTCCTCTGTATATAAAGTTAAACTAAAAATGAACCTTAATGAAGAATGGGATGGGAGAAGGGAGTAGGAGCTGGGACAGGAGTCGGGGTGGGAGGGTGGGTATGGGGGAAAGAACCACTATTTTCCTAAAGTTGTGCCTATGAAAAATGCATTCATTAAATAAAAGCTTAAAAAAAAAAAAAAAAGGAAGGTGCCCTCAAGAAGTACAGAGGGCCCAGCTTCCTTCCAGACAAGTTCATTGCCCAAGTCACCAGTGCAGCTCCCATCCCATGACATCACAGACGTGGGTGCAGGGAGGGAGTCGTCTACGTCTCTTGCCCTCTGTCTAATAAGAGCATTCTCCTGTTGGGAGACTGGGCAAGTGAGGCTTCTTGTTGAAGCTGTGTTTCCCTTCCCTCTGCAGGCATGAATGCTTTACAGTTACAGAATCTGGCGACGCTGGCTGCTGCTGCAGCCGCAGCCCAGACCTCAGCCACCAGCACCAATGCAAACCCTCTCTCTACCACGAGCAGCGCCTTGGGAGCCCTCACGAGTCCCGGTAAGTGATGGGGGGATCGCTGCTCCCTTGCAGGTGATGCAGCAAGGTCAGTGCTTGGGCCTGTACACACCCAGGTGTGAAGCCTGGGCGAGAAGCGTCCAGGAAACTTGCACGGGCATCTATTGTATTGTTTTGTTAAAGGAGCAAAGTTGGAATGTATGTGGTGTTATTTTCCAAAAAAAGGTAGAAAAAGGTTTCCAGAGCGAATCCATCATGCTACTGATTTTCACCCATTTATTTTGTTTTAAAAAAGCAGGTCTACGTTGTCCATTCATTCCTCATTAAATCTCCATCACAACAAAGAACCTTTGCCTCTTAACCCTGCCTTTTGTGTCTAGTCCCCCTTTTTTAAGGAGCTTAATATTTCTGTCTTAAATCTCAAAAATCCCTAATTGTTAGTGTTGTATTTCACACCAGCTCCATCATTCACGTTGGATTTTTAAATCCATGGCATGGTGAGGAACATCCTTGTTAGTCATTTATGGTCAGATTCTGGAATGTGTGGCTTAGTCTTTTTTCCTCAGAAATTTTGTTGTCTTATTCAGAAGCAGATGCCATTTTTCTTCTCATACAAGTCAGATATAATGTGGTTGCTTAGATACTATGATTGGGGTTTTTTGTTTTCTTCTTTATTTTAATTTTTTTGGCATAAAAAAATTTAGGCAGAATGTTTCACTGGCTCTTCTTTCCTGAATTTTCTAGACCTTGATATATAATCTTACCTCCTCTCTGTTATATGCAGGGGTTGGCCTAGACAACTTATTTCTAACTTGGCAAAATTTTTCTAGCTTTAAAATTAAATTTAAATTTTAAATTTATATTCTAACTAACTTTGAAAGTCGCACGACCCTCCATCAGCTGTGCCCAAAAGAGTAACTAAGTAAGTGCTGACAAAACTTAAATGCAGCATTGAAATGAAACCTATGGCACACTACAGAGCAGCTTTCTTGAGGCTTTGACTTCAGCCTGCAGTGAGGCCTGCTCCTTGAGCCTGTGACTCTTGCAAAGACAGTTATTCTTGGTCTCTCTATGCACACTGTGTATCTGACATATTTCACCCTGAGCGTACTGTTAAGGGAAAAAACCTAACAGATGTTTAGGAGAAGCTGGTGGATTCGTCCTTAGTATGTTCAGATCTCATGGCAGCAACACATAGACACTCTAAAGTGTCTTCGGGGATGTGCCATTACTGCATGTGGGCCTTGTTTTATGTAATAAACAGTATTCCTGAAAAAAACATTTTTTTAAGAAATTAAGTTATAGCCTTAATGCAATCCATAAACTTGTTACTTAAATAAATCCTGTAATGACCCTTTTTGAGAAATGAACATTTTTCATTTTTTTAAGATTTATTTATATGAAAGGCAGAGTTAGAGAGAGAGGGAGAGACAGGTCTTCCATCCGCTCATCCACTCCACAAATGGCTGCAAAGGCCCTCTGGGCCAGGCCAAAGCCAGGAGCCAGGAGCTGCTCCCGGGTCTCCCACATGGGTGAAGGGGCCCAAGGACTTGGGCCATCTTCCACTGCTTTCCCAGGCACATTAGCAGGGAGCTGTATCAGAAGTAGAGCGGATGGGTCTTGAATCGGCATCTATATGGGACGCTGGCACCATAGGCAGTGGCTTTACCCACTATAGCACAATGCCAGCCCCAAGAGAAATGAACATTTTTTAAAGATTTACTTCCTTATAAAAGTTATTTTTCTTAAAAAACAAAGAATTCACCCCTCTAATTCATGTTTTATGAATCAGATTGAAAAGCAGTTTCTTAAATAATTTTTTTCCTCCCCTATGAGGACTATGAAAGGATCCCATTTAAATAGCAGAGTATTATGTGTGCATTTTATTGTATTTTTAGTCACAAGATGGTTTGTCAGGTTAAGAAGCCAATTGCAAAGGCTGGTCAGTCTAAAGAATAAATTATATCCGAAGTTCCTGTGTGGCTTTTGGCACTATGCCCGTGCTGAGGCCTCGGCAGTGACCAGATAGACAGGCCTGGCTCCTCTCCTAGTCTTTCAGTCCACTGGGAGAACTCGCACAGTAAGCAGATAAATGCATGATAAGTGTGTGAGAGATGAGTTCTGGGTGATGGCGAGTAAGGCGAGGAGAACTGAAGGAGGCAGCCCTTCTCTCAGAAGGTGACAACTGAGTGGAACTCTGAACTTAGCGAAGCCAGGTAGAGTCTTCGGGCAGAGGACAGAGCACACGTGAAGGCTGTGAGGCACGGGGGCTGGGCGTGAGAGCAGAGGGCGAGGAAGCCCTGGTGCAGAGCAGAGGAAGAGGAGAGATTGAGTTGGATCCATATCCATTCCATCCTGTACTGGGGGGAGCACGACTTGGAAGCTTCTTAAAACGCGGGACGCTCAGACACACTGTGTGCGTGGCCTGAGTGTCTGAAAGGAGTCTGAAATATATTTGGCCATTTTCAGTAATTTCCTGAAGTTGCCTTTGGAGAGGTGTTTCCATTCTTCCTGCTCTTACAGAAACACCAGCCCTTTGGTCAGTTCCGCTAGCTGAGGTACCCCGAAACGTGGTTTTCTCTTTTCTGTTGAGGAATGCTTTGCATAATGGCTAAACGTATTTCATTAGAATCCTGAAGTGTTGCAGCAGAAACAATTTAAATCTACATTTCAATTATTTTTCTTAAGAGTAACTTAAAAAATGTGCTGTTTAAGTGAAAGTAAATTATTTGTCTAATTTCTGTCAGGGGCTCTTTAGAAGTCACAGAAAATGTGGTTAGTAGAATTCATGACTCTCCACTCTGTCAGGAAAGCTCCCTATGAAATAAAAGAGGCGGAAAGCCAGTCCCAAGGCCAAAATCATTATTTATTTTTTAAATCACAGTAAACCAGGCTTACTGTTTGTACCGTGAGTATGTCTGGTCACATGAAATGCGTGGAGTTCTCATCACTCCACACAGGCTGCGGTTTCATCCTGTTTTTAAATATGTCTGTTAAGCTTCAGACAAATTCATCTAGAAAGGAAAGGGACAATTTAATCCCCCAAACTATTAATATTTTTAATAATTGTAAATTTATCATTTCAATTTTGCATACCCAGGAAAGGTCTCCCTACAGCATTATTATAAATGATTTTAAACAGTCCTGGCATTAAAACATGAAAGATTAAGCTTTAATTTTTTTGTTTAAAAAAATCCCCTTAGGCAATAAATAGGTTCCTTTGTCTCATGGCCTTGAAATAAAAATTAAAATAGTTTAAATTGCCCATGGTTAGAATAAGTGTTTCATGCAATTATCAGATGGTAGTGAATAAAATTAGAAATTAAATCATGAAAGAATAAAAACTAGGTAAGTGCATATTATGCCTTTTATGAGTTTCTCACAGGTCTTTTGAAGCCTAATTTAATCGTGTTTCTTGTCTTTTATTTTGATATGATAATTTTTCCTTTGTTTACTTTGGTCTTGTATTTAGTTAATTAATTCTTGGGTCATTTCTTCTTACCAATTCTGAACCGGTTTTTGAGGATTCTGTCTCTGTGTTTATAAAGAGGCAAACTGTCTATAAGGCATGCAACTAGGTAATAAAGATAATAATAACTGACTCAGCTCGTAGGCTTATTGCTTTCATCTGGTAAATTTGAGAACTTGGTAAGGTTGCTGCCATCATATATGAACATGTCTTTGGTGTTTTCTTCCTAAAACATACTCTTGCATTCATGGACCACACTGTTTCACAGACTTCCTCCTATTTTCTTATTTAAAGAAAAGGATGTTTTAGAAATCTCCAAATGCTACCCTAAGTGCAGACTCAGTCAAGTGAACTCTTAAGAATAGATCATTTCTTTTGGTATCGTAAGGTATTTTAAAATGCTAGGAAGGGTGGTCTTTGTGGTTGTTTTTTGTTTTGTTTTTTGTTTTGTTTTTTCTCATTTCCACCATTGGCTTTTCAGAGTTTTCACTTTAAATTCCAGGCAGTATCTCCCCCTAACTTCAAGGTGTTCTGTGCCTCCTTGAAGGCTGTCACAGACACAAAGTTCCAAGCAATGGAGCTGTTTGAGGTTAACGGAGACTGAAGGTGTTTTAACATGATTTAAACCTGTCCTGCCCTCCTCACGTGATGACGACCGTGAGTAGCTGCTGTCTGAATGAGCAACAGAAAACAAGAATTGACCCTCAAAGTTAGGCTTGCAGTGAACAGGAGGCTCTGTCATCACTGTAAATGTATCTGCACGTATATCGTAAGAAAACGAGATAAGAGATGTGATGCATAGGCTTGTTGAACCCATGTTTCTGAACCTCATAGTTTGTGTGTGGAAAGTGCCTAAATGAGGTAGACTACACTGTTCTCCAAGCAGTAAAATGCACAGGGCAGTAACACAAACTTGGGTGGGAGGGGACCAGGAGAGAGGGATAGACAGACAACGTCAGAACGTCTAATACTAGACCTCTCCCCAGACTACTCTTCCATGGCCTCCCCGCCCTAGTCAGTATGTCTTCTCAGCCCCTGGTCTTCACGGCCAGCCCCAGGTCACTGCCGCCTTGACCGTCTCCACACTTACTCTCTGCTCCCTGGGGAGCATCTGTTTCCTTCTTACTGATGCTGGCCTGGATGAGGCCTTCATTTGCACTCCCTGTTCATAATGGAAGAGCCTCCATCTCAGCTGGCACCCGCTGTCCATTTTGCTCACTGTAAAGCAAAGCAGCACTTTGCTTCGGTGTGTCTCGGCGGCGTGGACCACAGTGAAACAGACCATCTCTGTGGCATTATATAACTCGGTCCTTTCACACCAAAACCTTAAGTAGCCTCTCCACCCCTAAGTGGCCCACGTGCCCACCAAATCAAGTCATTGTTTATCCCCTAAACACACCATCAGCCTTTCTTCCTTTCTTCGCCTCACTGTCCTATCCACAATGCCTTCTTCCCCACCTTCTTCCATGAATACCATAATGCATTGCAGTGCCTATTCTTGGAAAATTAGCATTTTAACGAACATGATAAAAAGTAGTTTATACTATTTCTGTAAGTCAAACTGCATTAAAAC